ATGCACAATGCAAAGAAGGCTACAGAACGGCGGGAAACACTTTTCTGCACGCGGGTTCTCTATAACAACAGAACACTCCGTCGTGCAAAAGAGCTGCAATTCAGCGGGAACATAATTTAGCGGTGCCGAAGCACACACAATCAAAAAATCCACAACTTTGGGTTGTGACAATAAAATGTTAGTGTTGTGGAAGATACCAGTAGTACTGGGCCTTGGCAGTCAGTTGAGTTTCTTTTGAATGCTAAATTGTTTTGACATACAGTATAGGTAACATTTTGACCTTAACAACAAATCTAAAAATGTCAGCAGAAGAAGACTGGTGGTATGAACATAAAGCTTTTATGATTCATGTGTAGTATGCATGAAATGGAACATTTTGAATTTACAAAGCCTTAACATTCAGTAATTTCTCCTCGGTGACTGCTGCAATGGTAATGATAGACATAGGTGGTGGGATGTTGGAGAGTAAAAAGTAATAAACTAATATTTTTATACATTTTATGAACAGGTAGGTGAGGGTGTTGAAATTTTCACTTATCCTAGCCATTCCTCTGTCCAGGATGTTAAACAGGAAAAGCTCATTTCTCTGACTGGTAGATCAGCAGGAGATTATTGCTCTCCTGTAAGAACTGCTATGAATATGCAATGGTTAAGCCCTTACTTGATTGCACAAACAAATGAAAATAGGTAATTTAAGATTTCTTTCTTCCCTGTCACTGCTACTGTCTGTCCTTGGAGCTGTCCATGCTTTTGTCCCCAACTCTATACCTTGTAATTTCTGATTGGTTTGGCATATTACAGAAGCAGTGGTGTTTGAAATGTGTTTGAAATGTTGCAGAACTGCACTTTTGGTACCAAGAAAACAGGTGGTCCTTTTCTTTGAGTCAGAAAGAAATTAATTTAAATGCATTTACTTTTTATAAAATTGGAGGTTTTAACATTTTATTTTATTGACTTGTTTTGCACCAATTGCTGCAAATGCACCTGGGTGCTTTTCAGAAAATGAGGCAATTTAGACGGAAAAGAGGGTAGTGAAATAGTCATGTAACGACTCAAACAGGAAGGATGTATAACTGCTGCAGACGGCAACAGTGAGCTGTGACAAACATCCTGAAGGAAAGGCAGTCCATAGGCAAAATGCAAGGACAACCTAGTTGAACCAAATTATATGGGGGAGGGGAGGAAGGGTGGCACTAAGGAAAAGATGGTTGTTTAAGAAGGGTTTTATGTCTCTATATTAAGAACTGGCAGTGCCTTCCTTGCTGGTCATAATTTTAGTAGGTGTGTGTGAACAGTAGGCAGTGAGAACTGTTGACCAGCAGTGCTTCCAATTCGTATTATCATTTTAAAATTGCAATTAACTGAGTCAAAAGGTGCCTTACTTTGATACTCGGAATGTCTTGTGCCTTTAATAGTAGCCTTCAAATTGACAGGGTCTAATCAGTTCAGGGCTGCTGTTAGAAGCCTTGAAATTGGCCTGTGATAGTAAATCTCCCAGGTTACACAGTTAAGCTGAGTACAATTATATTTCAAAGTAGGCAGCAGAGCCAAAGATTTGTTTTGCTCTTTGGTGGCATATGCACTTAACCAATATGCAGATTACCGATATTAGTTATAACGTTAGCAGTAGCCAAAAAATTGAGACTGGCATTTTGCTATACATTTAAGCAAATTATGCACATATCTACCATGGATATAATTGCAGTATATCATCCATATTTTCAACCTTAACTACATTGTAGTTTAGTTTGTTGAAGGGATGCAATCAAGAACTTATTATGCTTGTAATACCTTTTGTGCTTTTACTATCCATAAACTATTACATTTTTAATAGCTTAAACATTACTGGGTTCCAGCCTGCTGCTTTGGACTGTAGGTTTGCTGTAATGCTTCATTTTTGTCACAGATTTTGGCAGCCTCTGAGAATAGAGTTGGCTGTTAACTTGCATTTCCTTTGTTGGCTTCTCATTGCAGTGGCATGCCTGCTGTTTTCATTTCAACTTAAATATCTCTGCTATGTAGGGGTGGCAACTGAGGGTTCATTTTCTTCTTAAAAGACAACATCCGGTTGACCCATGGTCCCCATCTTTCACTGGCCCATTAGCAACATTAATGAGCAAATAATGTTTTGTAAGTGATGTCACATCTTGCTCCTCCTACTCACCCTTGGTTATAACTTTTAAATTTCCTTTGGTTCAAGCCCTGTTGATGGGATTCATAGGCAACATGTTGTCTGGAAGCCGTGATTTTGGGGACTGTTGGACTAGATCAGGGAGTCCAACTTACTTGACTTGGGCAAGATGACCCACCTCTGGCAACAGGTCAGTGGCTTGTGGTTGTGGTTGCAGGATGTGTAGTCCTGACACAGCTTTGCACCCAGGGCATGAAACCTACCATCACTTGCCCTCCTCTTTTCCCCCTGCCCTTTTCCCCAGCTACCAATTTTAGTTGCCAGCAGTGAGCAAAGACCCCAAACACGGTGGCAGGCAAGGTCAGGGTGGGGTGGGAGAAAGATGGGGTGAGTGGTGGTGGCATTAACTGCCTAGGTTCCAGAGCCACACCAATGCAGTGTTTCTGACAGCCATGCTAACAAGTCCTGTCAACCATAATTTAACCACTCCAGTTGGCCACCAGCTGGAAAGCTCTGGCTTGGATTATAAATTTCAGTCTAATCAAGTTTTGCTTTTAATTAAAGTAACTTTGAAATATATTTGTCTGTATGAAAGTTTAAGCTCCTTTTGGAATTCCACTACCTTACAGGAATTAAAAGTTCCAAAAGTTCATTGTAATAAACTGATAACTCTGTATTTTCCATGAAGAAA